TGTACTATTCATAGTATTTCATTTATACAAGTTATTTCAAAATTACTAGAACAATGTTTACAAAAGGAAAATGTGGAAATTTTAATAATTTGAGCAAAAATAATATATTAATCTTAACTATTGATAGAGTACATGAAAAAGTCTGTTTATTATCTGAAGTATTTATTAATAGATAAATGTCCCATTTCCTTACTTAGCATGGAAAATATAAGCATAACCTTAATCTAAAAAATTTTACAAGAAATCATTTTCTACTAGAATTTTTCTTTTTATTGAAAATATACAAATATGTTTAGAGTCTACCGGGTCCTGCCTGAGATTCTCATTTGGTTGAGGATCTTGTGGCCTTCTGGATCCTTGAGTGCAGCCTTTTGATTGAAGCCAAATGTTACAAAACAAACCTTTTTAGTAAAAGGATTTGTTCTGTGAAGCTTGCATTTGGTCCAGGGACCACACTTGGGGATCTGGAGGGCCACATGTGGCCTCGAGGCTTCAGGTTCCTCACCCAAATTCAATTTCAGGCAGGACCCAGTCACACCCCCTTTAATAAAATATCAAATGTTCATAAGACTGATGCTCTATGTGTCTTAGAGTTCCATCTAAGTTGTAAGTTAATTGAAACCAAAAAAGATTCCCAATTTCTACATAGATCCTTTTATGAGTTTCCTTATTTCAAAATTTGTATTCAGTCTCGTTCTCTCTATAACAGAAAAAAATAAACAAGATGTAAACAAAAAACAACATTAAAAAATCACTGTAGGCTAATTGTTTTATTGCTATGTTAATAGACTAGATAACTAGCTAAAGGGAAGATTATACAGTAATAATAATGATACTGTTACAGTTGTAATGATAGTAATAGCAACATTTATATAACATTTACTGTGTTCCAACCATTATTTTAAGAACTTCACATATATTTATTCACTTAATCCTCAAAGCAATCCTATGAGTTAAGCACTACCATCATAAGCATTTTAAAGACCAAGGAATTAAAGAAGAGAAAGGTGAAGTAACTTGCACGGTTAGACAGTGAGTGGCAGAGCCTGGCAGTGTGGTTCTAGAATTTGCAATCCCAAACACTATTTATAGTGTTCAAGCATTTCATTTTTTCAGAAATAAAATAAACAAACCAGTTGGAGACAGGATACTTCCAAATTCTGCTTCTTAGAAGTCAATTCCATTTCATTCTTACTATTTCTTCATAAGTGATACTGCATCTATATTTCTAGTTAAGGTTGGCTACTGGTAAAAATGCAAGAATATGTTATTGAAAAAGCATTTTAAAGGAGAAAAACATAAGATATATTCCTATTAGGTAGCATCCATAAGGAAAAGAGCCAAAATAGATATAAAATATTTTAATCCTGATAAATTAATAAAAACTAGCATATATTGAGATGTTACTATATTGCAGGCAGTATGTTAAGTGTTTATATGCAGTAGCTAATTTACCCCTTGACACCCTATGGAGAAGTGCTATTATCATCTTCACCTTACACATGGAAAAATCAGGGATCAGAGTGACCGAGTTGCTTATCCAAGTGTCAAAAACAAAATTTTCATCCATGCCGTACTTAAGATGCTTCATATATAAAAAAAAACAGTAGTGTCAAGTCAGATGTCAAAAGAAAAAGTTTTAAAAATAAAAGGGTTATCCAGCATGAAGACTTTCCATGCTAGAGTAGATTTCAAATATAATCTAATTTTTGAAAACCAACTAACAAGATAAAAATCAGCTACATATCATAATGAAGAAAAAAAAAAGAGTAAAAAACTACTCTTTCTTCATTATGCCAGAATAGGAAAGTGCTCAGTAAAATTGTGTCAGTAAGTAAAGATAAAATTAAACTTTATGCTTAAGCATAGGCACAATTAACCTGTGAAAATTACTCATATTCGATGGTAATGAAGCAGGTAGCTTACTGAAATTGAGAACATATCTGATTCACTATAATGAGATTTTCAGTTAGATCAAATCACACTTTGTATCAGTCATCCAGAATCAGGGCACATGTTGATTAGCAGAAAGGGTTACAAAAGAAAATTTTATTTTATTTTTTCCAGAGCCAGAAGGTCCATGATTAAAGAATATGATAATAGTAAATATTCGTTATGTCTGCATGAGAGGACATGTGGTTTCTAAGTAATGTCTGCATACAGAGCTCTGTCTCTAATGTACTACTACCTATTGCTTTGTCTAGTAAGTTCCTGTTCTACACCTCATACTCACGAGGGAAAGAATAAGTCTATGCAACAGACTCCCCTGGTTTTGAAAGAAAGAGAAGGAGTTCACAGTCATTTCTTATGCAACAAAAGAATGGAACTGTCTTTATGATGTTGTGGGACATTTGGAGTATGGTTTACAAAGTGGCAAAAAGTGAGGACAGTTACTGCAGAAACTCATCATAGGAACTGTGCGGTTTTGAAGGTCTTCATGCTGGGGGTGATAGGGCTTAGATTTTTATCCCATTTCTATTGCTTCTTCAATGATAATAGACTATAAGCAACTGCCTTCACTTTGGAGTGTTAGTTTCCCCTGTTGTAAAATAAAGGATCTGAATTAGCTGAACTCATAAGATTACATGTTTATAGCATTCTTTGATTTATCATTGCCCGTATCTTATAGAAACCTACAATAGGGTCCTTTTAAAAATAAGTCTAAAATATACATAAGTATTGATTCTTTGAGATTCACTCTTGATGCAGTTCTAAGATGAAAGCCTGCTCTGGGCTTTCCAATGTGTGCTCCTGCTGGACCTGTTCATCTCTGTGCAAGAGGACATTCATATTATTTTGATTACTCAGATTACGTATTATAAGTTTGAACATGCTGTCATAATACTAGTAGATTTTTCTTCTGAACAGTCTTTATTACTGCATTTTTCACTTATTTTTTCATTCTTTTTTGCTCACATCACTTATATTTTCCTGTTTTTCTGCAGATAAATGTCCGAATTACAATAAATTGAGATTCGATTAAAATATTTAACCACTATTGATTAATTTGTCAGCACTTGTGTACATGGAGAAATCCATGTGAAGAGAGAAGATTCATTACTCACATAAAAAGGCATTCAAAATAAAATTGAAAAGTGTTCTATGAAATAATGATATTTGCAAAAATCACACCATAAAAAATTCATGGATCAGAGTCCATTTCTTTTTGAATTAAATAAACTTTTTATTAGTTTATTTCTTTTTCTTTTTTAATAGATCTGGATAATGTGGAGGGCATTGCTGTGGACTGGATCGGAAATAACCTTTACTGGACAAATGATGGCCATAGGAAAACCATTAATGTGGCTAGACTGGAAAAGGCTTCTCAGAGTCGGAAGACTCTTTTGGAGGGAGAAATGTCTCATCCCAGAGGGATTGTGGTGGATCCAGTTAATGGGTATGAATATCCGAACAGCTTTATATAAAGATGATAATATATAAAATGATAATAAATAAATCTGTTTTTAATATATTTAATAACAGTAAGCTTTATTTAAATTTATCTGCATAGCAGAATATATACATGAATGGTCTGATTGGGAAACAGTATGCATTTAGTAATTTTCTCTTCTAGAGAATGTACTAAATAAACATGTCAAAATACATTAAACTGAAGTAAGTAGATTATGTATATAAAGGATATATTTCTTGATTTATTCAGATTAGCACTATACTTCTTTAAATAGCCTAATACCCACACAAATAATCAATTCAATGTGGGAATCAATCGATTTAATTTTTTAAAGGCAATTGTAATTTAATGTGTTCAAAAAAATAGCAAAAGGGTTTGCACATTTACTATGAGCCAGACATTTTATTAAATAGGTTACTATGCTCCTATTCTGTAATCCTAACAATAATTTTTTGAATTAATTACTATTACCAATCCTGTTTTATAAACGAGAAACTGATAACTGATCTACAAAAAACCATTCAATTAATAAGAGACTGGATAGATATTTAAACCCAAGCAGCCTGTCTCTAGGGCTCTACTCTTGGCCACTGTATTCCACTGCTTTTTATTAATCTGGGATGGTAATCACATAATTTCAGATACAATTGTAATTTCCATATAAGGGCATCATTTTATAGTATGTGTTATTTGTTTTAGAATGGAATATTTTGTTCAATTCTTAGTAATATATTTTCTTTGGATTTTTATTCTCACCTGTTACCTGAATGCAAAACTGTGCTTTTATTAATAGAAATATCAAAGAAATGTAAAAATCCTAGCAGAATTTCATAATTAAATGAATGTATTGCATATGTTATGTTTACAATTATTTTGTATGTGTGTTTTCCCTTCATGGCTTATATGTCATTGTTTCAAAATAACTTCAAAAAGTGGATATTATTTTTACCTTACTACACACATACAAAAATATATATTTAATTAGATAGGAGGCATGTGAATCCCTTATAAAATGAGATCACTGAATTTCAGTTTGTAGAATTGTTTGTGTTAAATGGTAGCTCCAATTACAATCAGGGTGCATCTTCCAGGCAGTGGATGAACTCATTGTACATGTTTTCATAGGCATAATTATAAAACAATTTCAGTGATTTTATGTGTGGATTCTATAATTATCTGTTTCATTCCCAGACTTTTAAACCAGGTCATCTATCTGACCTTTAAACCAAGCCTATCTTAATTTTTAGAGAGAATATTTATTCCAACTGTCCAATTCTACTTGAAGCAAGAAGTTCCAAATATGTCTTAGTACAGCATTTTTCTTTTCAGTATTCTGTTAGAGAAAAATGTTTTCTGATAGTGTTAAAGGGTCTTTATTGTGCTCAGAGAGATACCTAAATGAGGGAGGTCCTACATAGAAACATGTAATTTAGAAAGAAATTTAGAGACCACTAGTTTCATCTTTCTTATCAAATTCAGGAATCCCTTTCAACATCTCCCAAGTAAGTAGGCATCCAACTTACGTTTGAAACCTATAGCATCTACATAGTTCACACTTTTTGGAGGCAATTCTCATTGATAGGAATTTTTTTTTCTTTTCATTAAGACAATATCTGCATCTCTGTTATGACGGTCTATCAACTAACCCTCCGTTTACCTTTGATGCTACAAAAAATGGTTGTTATACCTCTTCCAACAGACACAAATTTTCAAATAGAATAATGCTATTGTGCACAAATCTGAAAAAATAGCATATGTGTATGTGTATATGTGAATGTGTATGTGTGTATTTAAGCACACACACATATTTTTTCTCTGACAATATGCTATGTCCAGAGCTCTGCAATAGGTATACAGTTGTTAAGAAAACAGGCATAGCCTCAACCCTCACAAAGCACCTTGTGTTATTTGCAAGATGGACAGTGGGAAGATATAACAATAAATAAGTACCAAATGAGCAATAACTAAATAAGCACCAAATGTAATTTCAGTAGACCAAAGTTATAGAGAAAAACAAATAGGTCGATATGATGGAGAAGAACAGGTAGAAACCTATTTAAATAGGTTTGCTGAGAAAGCCTCTCTACAGAGGCATCATATAAGCTGAGACTCAGTCGTGGAGAAGGAACTAGTCATGGAGAATGGAGGAAAGAGTATTTGAGATTAATAAAATGGTACATTTAAAGATCTTAAATTGGGAAAAAGTT